GTTGCATAATACTCATTAAAATGATAAACATTCTTTATCAGTTCTTTTTTTTAGAAATATTCTGGCTCAAATCTAAAACCTCAATTTAAGGAATTCATCCCACCGTAACCATCGTCACATGATAGTGTCTTACTCCTTAAAGCAACCTATCTAATCCTTCATCTTAAATATCTGATGGAACTTTCCTAATAGTACCCAAAAACAAAACCTTTTTCTGGTTTTATATTAGTTTAGTTTACTTTAAGAAAATTACATCTAAAATTATATTGTGACATATTGATTCCTTTGTTTATTTTGTTTTGTTTGCTTAAAAAATGACGTTTTCCTTATTAAAAATGTTTTGATATTTTAAACACAGTGGTTTATAACGTGGATGGAATGAGCAAGAGGGAATCGACAATATGTTTATGAGTTTTAGTACGAAGGTTACAAGTGTCCTACTAGTTGGATTAGTGTCTTTCGACGATATCATATTATATGCCAATTCCCAAGAGAAGGGTGACTGAAAGTACAGTAAACAGTAGTAACATCTCTTCGATTGAATTGATGCCCATTCTTTATTAGGATTTCATATGCCTAATGTCATGTTACCTATTGAAGTATATTATGCCTTTGATAATTATTTTATTTGGAAATCGATAAGATATTAGTTACTCCTACTTTGAATTTTTGTCCACGGTCCTGAAGTGGCTGTTTTTTGTTGGTGAGTGACAATTACAAACTTGTCAAAGGTAATAAATTTAGCTATTACTCATGCCTCCTGCTCAATTTAAGCTCACGTTGTGGAGATTTGCTGACAGATATTTTTGCTTTTTCCCCATGCGTGTTAAACGATGATTTGTATTGCTATGCTCTGCTTACTCAAACTAGGTTGGTCTAAATTAACGCTGGAATTTGTCTTTTTGGTTACTAACTTTTTCTATTGTTAATCATTCGGTATTCAAAACTCTCATGCCAAACTAATTTGGATTTATGTTGAATAGGCGCACTAAAGAGATAAACTCATTTCTACCAAAAAGTTTTAAATTTTAGAGCTTGAAATTATAGGGTGAAAGAATTCCGACCCCTAGAGTTTGGTGGTGTTACCTAACTTATGCTTCTTCTCCCTTTGACCCTATTCCTCTATCTTGATTAGCCTCAAATTGGACTGAGTTGTACCATCTCATATACTGACAATCCACAGTAACAGTCTGGTGTAACCCCACAATATAATGCCCATATGCTAACAACCAATTTGTTCAGTCTCTTTAATAAAAAAAATTAGTTCAGTCTCCTCATTCCTGACTATAAAGAATGACTTTAACGACTCTTAGAAAAGGCTTCGATAATGCAGGGAATCAACTTGAGAAATAAGCATGAAAAAATAACGACAAGTCATTAGTCATAAACACATGAGTTGGTGGCCGTATTAAGAGGTGCTCTAAATAGTAGTTAGCGTGCTATAATGCAGGCACGATATATAATGCCCTATTAAACATATCTGACCAATATCTGTTCAAAGTACAGCCAATACTTTATTCAAAATACAGCCAATTAATAAACGTGTTTATATTTCGTTCAAATTCTACCGCTGATTACAGTCTCTTTCCAAGATAGCCTGTCTTAGCTTGTCCCCATTACTTAAAGAAAAAGAAAAAGTAGTATTCCTCTCTATTTTGGGGTCCCAAAGTCCCCTATTTATATTACCAGGCATATACTCTATAGTTGGTGCATTGGTAGTACTCCCTATATCTCAACCGTTATAGTGTCTCGGATAGACAACCTTGCTTTCAATCGATTATATTGTCGCGTCGTTTAAACATTCTTAGACATTAAGGAAACAATGTAAATCCGGTAAAACTGACTATTGTGATAACTAAAAAGAGAATATTGATTTTTGGGTAACGAACACAAACCTGAATGATCACCCATAAAATTTACTCCTTATTTTTTTTAGACGACTTACTGCATGAAGCGATGGAAGAACAATAAATATTTATCCGTACCGGTTGTCTATACCAACCCACCAAATACATATCACATGTCTTCACAATCACGATTATTTCTAAATCATAGTTAATTAATACGCATTCTTATTTTAATCTCACTTTATCATAGTAAATTAGTGCAATTTAATATAAGCATTTGATGCGAGTAAATTTTTAACGGGAAGAACTATGACAAGAGAATGAGCCACGAAGCTTGTGTGAAACGTGAATTAGAAGTGAAGCTTGGTTTTTGATTTTTCGATTGTAAGAAGAGACTGAAATTGAGTTTTTGACTATTTCTGGAAACTATTCCTCCTATGAATCAAATTAGAATAACAATTTAGGCGTTGATTAATCCCTGGTCTGTCGGAATGGTCAACCTGATTATATTGCTTCTTTCTCGGTAAATTCAAGTTCCATGGCTCAGCAGACAGTTCAACCAATACAGTTAGCTCAACCTTTTTAATCTCTTCTATCATTGACTGACAAATTCATTGGTTAGCCGGTTTGACTCGTAAACCCATTGGACCAAGGAAAGAATTATACGCCTTTTTTTTTTTTGTCGTTTGAGAAAAGTAAATAAAACAAAAATTATTGTTGGCAATCGTACAATAGAATGAAAATTTAGTGTAAAATTCTTCCATTTTCAATCATAAATTGAGAATTTGGGTAACTAGATGGAAAAATAGTGTAGACATCTAGTGTTGATCATCTCAGGGTTGGCTAGGGAGAAAAAAAATTAAATAAAACATTTAACGAAAAGCTGGAGGTTTCAGTGTCTGCCCTCAATGAGTAAGTTTAGAAGGGTTCGGTTATGACTTATGACCAGAAAAAGGGAAATTAAAAGACAAAAACGGATTTGTTTCGTCTTCACCTAACAACTGCGAATGGGACATTTTTGCTTACCGAAGCTGGATTGCAGTGCACAAAAAGCGCACAATATCTCTGAAAGGGCTATTTTGATAATTGCGACACTTGAGGTGGTACCATTGGAAGAGCAAATAGTTTCCATTGACGTGATTCTCTACACTTCGATTAATGGATTCCCTTTTAAATCCTTTAAAGATCCTTCTCTCTTTTTTACCAGCCCCACGGCCCCACCCACTCTACCCCCGCCGCAACCAAGTTTAATTTTACGGCAACTAAATATACCCCTTTATTTTTGAAAATAATCTAAAAATACCCCTTATTATACTATTGGGTTATCTATACCCTGCAGTCATATTTTGGGTTCAAATATATCCCTCATTTAAACGGAAGGACACGTGTCATCGTCATGTTGGTCAATTCTAAATATCTCCTAATTAATTAAAAAAACTCATTACCCATACACGAATTTTTTTTTGTAAAAATTGAAAAAAAACCGAAATTATTTTTACTAAAAATAAAAAAAAAACAAAAATATTTTTTTTCCAGTTTTTACAAAAAAAAATTCCTTAGAAAAAACTGAAAAATATTTTCTAAAATAATATTTTTGTAAAAACTAAAAATAAAAGGCTGAAAATTAATTTTCTAAACCAATTTTTTTGTAAAAACTGGAAAAAAACTGAAATATTTTTTACTAAAAACTGAAAAAATAATTTTTTTTCCTTCTAGTTTTTACAAAAAAACTGCTTTAAAAAAGCTGAAAATATTTTCTAAAATAATATTTATGTAAAAACTGAATAAAAAAATTAAAAAGCAATTTTCTAAAGCAATATTTTTGTAAAAACTGAAAAAACAAAAAAACAATTCTTTCAGTTTTTAGTAAAAAACATTTTAATTTTTTCTAGTTTTACAAAAAAATTGCTTTAGAAAATTGATTTTCAGTTTTGTTTTTCAGTTTTTACAAAAGCATTGTTTTAGAAAATATTTTTCAGTTTTTTCTAAGGCAATTTTTTTGTAAAAACTGGAAAAAAAATATTTTTGTTTTTTTCAATTTTTAGTAAAAATAATTTTAATTTTTTTCGGTTTTTACAAAAAAAAAATAATATTTTTCGTGTATGGGTAATAAGTTTTTTTAATTAATTAAGAGATATTTAGAATTGACCAACAAGACGATGACACGTGTCCCTCCATTTAAATGAGGGGTATATTTGAACCCAAAGTATGACTGCAGGGGTATAGATAACCCAACAATATAACGAGGGATATTCTTAGACCATTTTTGAAAGTAAATGGATATATTTGGCCCTTTGCCGTTAATTTTAATCCGCTGTATTAATATTAAGAACTAGAGTAATTTTTAACATTAATTGGCTAATTGCAAGTTGAATAACTCTTGAATGCACCTTGTCAAAGTGTGAAAAACTTGACACATAATGTACCCACCTTCTAATATTTTTTTTAAGGGTGGTTTGGTTTGAGAGATAAGGAATTAATCCCTCCTATCCATAATAAGTGATTTTTTAGTCTTTTTTTGTGGTCCAAAATAAGTGATTTTTTCAGATTTTAAGAATAAATTAATTTTTTTCCTACACTGCCCTTGGAGTAAATAGTGTTGGAGTATGTGTTAGGAGTGTTTATGTGAAGAGATAGTAAATGTTAATATGACCAATTTCATTGCTAATTAATGTTTAAACGTGAATTTCTTAATCTGTGTTAAAACAATCAAAAATCAGTTATTGTGGACCGGAGGGAGTATAATTATGGGAAAAATTGTGAGATCATTTATTCCATGTTTGGTGCAATATTGGATTCCGGTATTAGCGATTCTCAATCACTAATATTATTTTTATTTATTCGTGGGATAAAAATCCAGAGATTTGCCCTTTTTCAAAGCTTTTTCTCGCAAAGATTTTTAAGAAATATAAGGTTAAAATTGAAATAAAAGTTAAAAACAAATATTTGGTTTAACCTTATTCTCAATTTTTACCTTATATTTCTTAAAATACTTTGGGAGAAAAAGCTTTGGAGAAGGGTAAATGTATCATTTGATTGTCCTATCCCTAAATTAGTACTACCCAATATCAACTAATATTGTTATTGTTTTGCTTATTCTATTTTTTTGTTGTCCTTTTCAGTGCCATTCAAGGGTTTTGGTTCTTGAGTGCCATATTTATATACAGTAGATTTTTGTATCTCTTCCTCGGAACCTTTCTCCCAATATCACAATCTTCTTCTTCGCCAACCTTATCTCTCTCTTTCTCTTTCTCTCTTTTTCTTGTTATTAACCTGTTAAAGGCTCAAATATTTAGATTATTTCTCGGACTTGTAGAGATAGAGAGAAAGAGAGAGTGTGTCTAACAAAAATGGAAGCTGTTCTACAAACAAAAGGGCTTCTTTATCTGCCTTCAAAACCCAAAACCAGAGCATTTTACCCATTACCTCAAGGGGGTTTAAGGCACCGATTCAATTCTTTTAATTCTCTTAAACCTAAACCCCTTGAAGGATTATCTCTATCTTTATCTTCTGATGGTTTCCAAAAATTTCAAGGCTTTGCTAAAAAGCCACAATTGATTAGTCAAAAGAACAGATTTTTTCCAGTTTGTAAAGCAGAGGCTGCAGCTGCAGCTGATGGGGTACCACTTTTGGGAGAAAATGAGTCACCTAAATTCATGGGAATTGAGCTTGTGACACTCAAGAAAATTATTCCACTTGGGCTTATGTTCTTTTGTATTTTGTTTAATTACACAATCTTGAGAGACACTAAGGATGTTTTGGTTGTAACAGCTAAAGGGTCAAGTGCTGAGATTATACCTTTCTTGAAAACATGGGTGAATTTGCCTATGGCTGTAGGCTTCATGCTTTTGTACACAAAGTTGGCTAATGTGTTGTCAAAGCAGGCTCTTTTCTATACTGTGATCCTTCCCTTTATTGCTTTCTTTGGGGCATTTGGGTTTGTTTTGTATCCCCTTAGCAATTACTTTCACCCCACAGCTCTTGCTGATCAACTTTTGAACATTCTGGGTCCAAGGTTTCTTGGACCAATTGCTATATTGAGGATCTGGAGTTTCTGTTTGTTCTATGTCATGGCTGAGCTTTGGGGAAGTGTGGTGGTTTCAGTTCTTTTTTGGGGGTTTGCTAATCAGGTAAATATATGTTCATCCTCATCCTTTCATGGATCCTTTTTAGAATTAATTACTATTCCAGTTTGGGTGTCATAACTTGGTATATTCCATTTATATGCTGTTTGCCTGAATTTTGAGACTCCCAATGTCTTTTTTAGTCTAGGATAGTAAATAGATTTCATGCAAATTGCACACTGAGCTTTTGGTATAGGTGTCCCGGGACTAATAATCTATGAAGAAAGGAGGGGAAAGGGCAGATCAACCAAAGATCCTACTCCTCTTAGAAAGGGGAATGAATCATTTTTCCGCTTTTTCATTTTGTTTCAAGACCCCATTGACGAAAGAACAAATCAGGAAATAGTCAATTTGATGAATATTCATTTTATACTGTCACACTTCATTTGTGCATTAGTAATCATTTCCAAAAGTTATATGATCTTAGATTCTTATATTTGCTTATCTGATGAGTTCCTGAAACTGCTGCACTTTAGGGTGATATGAACTCTCTTTGAACTGATATGCCGGGAACAGGTTAATGTAAGGGATTGGATGGTACAACATTTTTTCTTCATTATTCTCTTTTGGCAATGGGTGTTGGCTCCAGGGGTGGGGTTAGGAAGGGTGCAAGGTTATGATAGTATTTACTGTTTTAAGATTTGTTTACTATGGAGTTCATGGTTTAACTAGCTTTAAGGCTGGTGACTGGTCCAGTTATGTTGCAATTCTGCTCATAAATTGCTGATGTCTCGGCTGCACTTTTTTGTCATTGTTTACATCTTGTCTAAGTTCTGTCTTTTTTGTCGTAACCAGTTATAAAAATTCGCTAAGGTTTCAGTTTGTCACCTGCTCTTTCTGTTTCCATCTGTTTGAAAGGCCAGTTATCAGCTGGTGAAATCATCCGCGCATCTTGATTATCAGTGCCTTGAGCTTTATTTGGGGAAAATAGCTTTTTGTGCTGCCATTGAATATTTTGGGATGCTTTTATTTTTGCAGATTACAACAGTTGATGAGGCTAAAAGATTCTATCCATTATTTGGACTTGGAGCAAATGTTGCTCTTATTTTCTCTGGTCGTACAGTGAAGTACTTCTCTAATCTGAGAAAATCGTTGGGTCCTGGAGTTGATGGTTGGGCCGTCTCTTTGAAAGCAATGATGAGCATTGTAGTGCTGATGGGGCTTGCGATCTGTGGCATTTACTGGTGGGTGAATCACAATGTTGCGCTACCGAACCGTAGCAAGAAGAAGAAGGTAACCAGCCACAATTTGGTATTGATTCCCTTCAAGTGGCTACAATACACAAAAGAAAATAGTAGTCAGCAAAAGGACCTATAAGTTTTGCCTATCTAATAAACTTAGCAGAGAAATTACCTTATTTATCAGTTAGTTCCAGAGAGATGCTTGACCTCTTTGTTTACTTGATCGCGGTTCATTGATAATCTAATAAATTTCCACCTCTCAGATTAAATTATACAAAATCACTTTCACATTGAAGGATCATGTTTATGGTATGAACATTTTCTAAATAAAATATATTTTTGCAGGAGAAGCCTAACATGACCACGATGGAGAGCTTGAAATTTTTGGTCTCCTCAAAGTATATCAGGGATCTTGCAACATTGGTCGTAGCATACGGCATAAGTATCAACCTTGTTGAGGTTACTTGGAAATCAAAGCTCAAAGCTCAGGTAGATAATTACTAGGTGTTATGCGTTGGTTATATATGAACTCCAGTTTGTTTATCATTTTAACATGCAGCATCTTTTTCACTCTCTGCCCTTTTTAACTAAATCTGCAGTTCCCAAGCCCAAACGAATACTCTTCTTTCATGGGTGACTTCTCTACTGCTACTGGGATAGCAACTTTCACGATGATGTTGTTAAGCCAGTGGATATTTGACAAATATGGTTGGGGAACAGCAGCTAAGATAACACCCACGGTCTTGCTTCTTACTGGAGTTGGATTCTTCTCCCTGATTTTGTTTGGTGATCCCCTTGCCCCTGCTCTTGCCAAGTTTGGGATCACTCCTCTTTTAGCGGCTGTCTATGTGGGTGCTATGCAGAACATTTTCAGTAAGAGTGCAAAGTACAGTTTGTTCGATCCTTGCAAAGAAATGGCCTATATTCCTCTGGATGAGGACACCAAGGTATATACTAATTTACTGTGTCTAAAATTGTAGTGAATCAATGCTCTATGGTGCTGTCAACAGTGCTGAATTGGAATAGTTGTGCCTACATCTAGGAATTGAATGCATTAAGCATGTATATATCTGTAGCCTTTAAGAAGGGGAGCCTTCGAGCAACGGTAAAGTTGTCTCCATGTGACCTAGGTCACGAGTTCGAACTGTGGTATCAGCTACAGCTACTGATACAAGCATCAGGGTAGGCTGCCTACATCACACCCTTTGGGTGCGGCCCGTCCCTGCACCCTGCATGAATGCGGGATGCTTCATGCACCGGGCTACCCTTTTATATTTGTAGCCTTTAAACATCTGATGAGTGCATATATTTATGATGGTATTTGTGACTGACAAATACCTCGGTCCGGACTTCTATAACTGGAAAATCGTGATGTTATTTGGCAGCCAGTTGTTTCCTGAAAATTAAGCTCAAGCATTTTTCTTATAACAGGTTAAAGGGAAGGCAGCAATTGATGTTGTCTGCAATCCACTGGGAAAATCTGGAGGAGCCTTGATACAACAATTCATGATTTTGACTTTTGGTTCGCTTGCCAACTCAACTCCCTACCTTGGAGGTGTGCTACTAGTAATTGTACTTGGATGGTTAGGAGCAGCCAGGTCTTTAGACGGCCAATTCACTGCATTGCGTCGTGAGGAAGAGCTCGAGAAGGAAATGGAAAGAGTAGCAGTGAAGATCCCTGTTGTGTCACAAGATGAAAGTGGAAATGGTTCTCTTACAAGTGACTCGTCGTCACTGAATCCCACGGGAGGTGACTCAGCCGGTGCATCAACTGAACCTTCGTCCCCAAGGAATGTGTAATTTTGCTGTTATATCACCTCCAAAGCAGGAGGAATATGAAAACAAAATAGGAGATGCATGTCGGTTGCAGGTTCAACTATTCAATGAAGTTCCCAAAAATTTTCTTGGTTGTAGGAATTTGTTCTTACTCGATAGAAATAAATACGAATAGAAGGACAAGAATGTCACTGACTTGGCTGCCCTTAGATGTTGTAAGCTTATTGGAGTAGTTCCAATCATTCAGCTTTATAGCTCTCATGATATGAAAATGCTATTTGCTGCTAACTTGCTGTGTAGCGAACACTTCGAGAAGAATCTTCGACTGATGTGTGGAAAGAAGAGCAGAATAATTCTGTGCATACGCTTCTACATGCTCATTCTTAGTCTGAAACGTTTAGTGCTGGTTTCGCTTTTGGTTAGCCTTCATTTTGACTTTGCATGTTCTGATTAAGCCTCTTGACCAGTAGGCTTTACATGTTCTGCGTAACTGGTAAAGTTGTTGTCATGTGACCTCCTGGGTTCAAGCCGTGAAAATAGCCTCTTGCAGAAAAAGGCTGTGTACAATAAACATTTGTGATCCGGCTCTTCTCCGGATCCCGTGCATAGTGGGATCTTAGTGCACGAGCTGCCCTTTTATGTTCTTATTAAGCAACGGTCTGACAAAATTAAAGAATTTTTCAAGAAATTGTATAGGAGGATTACCATCCAATTTTACTGCTGCTCTTGTAAATTTAGTCACATCGGTAAATTTGTGAGAAGATATCAAGTGAACTAACTTAGAAACTTCCTTTCCCTTTATAAACTAGAACTAAAACCAGAATACTTGTGAGAAGATAACTACTTAAAAATTTGATGAATTATGGTCCAAAAAAATAAAAAACACTAAAACCCAATATTTCAGTCACATGTTCAAAACTGGTCGTTCAAAATACAGATTGGAACTATCGTATAATCCTAAATGAGGCAGACTGTAGATACCTCCCCTAGTACTGTTTAATCATTGTCCATTCGTTCCTCATCGCTCTCAATTTTCTCACATCATATTAATTATCAACTGCATCCCCACTTATATCGCCGCAGTACTCTTCCCATCACTATAATCTTTGTTTTGCACATTATATCCAATTTCCAGCGAGCAAAAGAAGAAATAAACAAAAGAAGCCAAGGGTGTGGGGATAGCTAGGGAAGGCAAGTAAATTTAATGCAAATATTCCGTTGGGTAGTGACATATCATGGTTTCTTCTCTGCTGCATAGAGAACAAAATTCATAAAACTCTCACATGAGAAAGGAAAATGACATGGACCTATGTATATTTCTTTTCAATAACCATCCCCCTCTCTCTCTTGGTTTCATTATACATGACATATTTTATTGGATATGGAATTTAAGAAACAATAGAGTTTTGGTACTTATAATTTTAACATGCTATGATATTTATGCGACCAAAAAAATATACTCCCTCCGTTTCAATTTAGATGAGGTAGTTTGACTCGACATGAAGTTTAAGAAAAAGAAGAAGACTTTTAAAACTTGTGGTCTTAAAAACTTAAGAAGTAAAAGATTTGTGGGGTCATGACATTTGTGTGGTTATAAAAACTTTTCATTAAAGTTAAAATGGGTAAAATGAAGAATTTAAAGTTGAATTATTTTCAAGTTTAGAAATGTGTCATTTATTTTGGAACAAACTAAAAAGTAAAGTACCTCATCTAATTCAAAACGGAAGGAGTATTATATATTAAGGTTAAAACTACTGTAAATCACAATTATTAACAATTCAAAATATCTAAAAGACATATGAAAAAATCATGGGAAAAATAACTCGTTTAACTCTCGAAATTCGAACTCCACCATATAATTGGGACGAAGAGAATATATTTTTGTAAAACAAACTAAAAAAGAGAGCATATCACATTAAAAAAAAAAAAGATGTATTAATTCTTATCCCTCCTTTTCTACCTCTCACTCGTCACCCATGTTCAAGGCACTAACGGTAAAGAACAATTCTGCACAAATCTCTATCAAACAAACCATCATCCAAGGGTATTCTTGTCAAAAACTAATAAAAACAACCTTGTCAACATTATGTGGTGGTGTCACCCCTAACAAATTTTTATCTACTAGAGGTAATAACCTCATGTAACAAGAAGAAAAAAATCCCTGGTCAGAAATTTTCTTCATCTATATGAATTACTAGCTAGTATTACTCCATTGTCCACATAAACTCTAAAAATGAAGAAGCTAACATTGCCGGAACCCATAAATTTTCCGGGCAAATCTACTCATTTCTCGGCCGAATGTTGGTTCGACGACACGTGTATCCTCGACATGGACTACTTTGTCAAAACACTTTCCGGCATTAAAGCCAAAGGTGTTCGTCCTGAACTTATTGGCTCAATTATTACTCATTATGCTTCTAAATGGCTTCCTGACCTTTCTACTGGAGAAGGTACGTCGTACTTATAAAAATTCTTCTAACATATACCTAGTGTGAATTCTATGCTAAAAATCATACTGTCTATATTTGTCAAATAAGTATTACTACTTTTTATATATGTATATTAACGTAGAACGCCGTTCCCTTGGAGGAATTCCTGATTTCGCCGGTTAGTACATGTAGCTCAATTTAATTCTAGTTTTGTAAGGTACTAGGGATGAATGTAGTTTATTTTTGCGACAGGTTCAGAAGTGTTAAGCCCAAAAAATTTCGAAGACTCACCGGAAAGTGTCACGGCGTTATGGATGAAAAAGAGGTTCTTTGTAGAAACTTTGGTCGGAATTCTGCCGCCGGAGAAAGATTCAATCCCTTGCAATTTCCTCTTACGTTTGCTACGAATCGCAAATATGGTTTCAGTCGAGCCCAGTTACAGAGCCGAGCTGGAGAAAAGGATATCGTGGCAACTGGACCAGGCTACTTTGAAAGAGCTAATGATTCCGTCTTTTAGTCACACGTGTGGGACATTGCTAGATGTTGAGCTTGTTCTTAGGTTGGTTAAGAGGTTCGTGAATTTTGATGAAGCCGTAAGAAGTGGAACAGCTTTAATTAAGGTAGCGAAACTTGTGGATAATTACTTAGCTGAAGCTGCTGTTGATGCAAACTTGACATTGTCGGAGTTCATTGCTCTTGCTGGTGCATTTCCTGAACATGCTCGGGCTACAGATGATGGCTTGTACAGAGCTATTGACACATATCTCAAAGTAAGTACCAAATCTTCTTCCGCTTAGCCCTTAATTGATGACCATTAATTTTTTAATGACAACATATTTTGGCTTTTTGGTACAACAACAAAAAAATCCAGATCAGGTTTAGAGAGAATAGTATTTACGAAGACGTTGACCCAATGTATAGAGAATATTTTGGCCTTTTGGTGACTCAATTATAGCTGCATCACAAAAATTTCTGTTATTAGTCGTTAGCGCGGAAAGTGTAAGTCGCTATTTCTTGCTACGACATACTATGCAGAAAGTTATGTGGCTAAAGTGTCGGGTCACTATTTTCTTTTCATATTTAGGTAAGTGCATTTCGTATAGCTGTATATGCAAGAGCTGTAGTGACTTACTACTATATTTGTATAAATTGGTCACGAGAATTTTTCTTCCCAACCAAAAGAGCATGGTGGGGGAGGTGGGTTATTAGTTGTAAAAAAGGAAAATGACCGATCGAGTTGCTATTTGGTTAGATTAGGTTACGAGTTTTGGCAGTGTCCCTACTATGAGATTCCCAATGCCAAAAAGTCCAAGTAGAGAAGGTACAACAGTGCAAGTATTGTTGAAATTTCTCCAGACAAAACAGAAACCACTGCTATTCTAAATTTGGCTTTCTTGTGTCCGCTCATACCTCTTTGGGAAAAGTATTGCCTGGAGTTTGAGGAGAAAAATGAAGCAATAATCTTCACTGGATTTAGTAATTCTAATTTTAGAACTTCCCTTTTAGCTTCAGCCTATGTCATCAATCATGGAAGAAAATGTTTTCCTTCAAACTGTACAAGACAAGTCGCGGAGATTAATTAGTGTTAATGTTTGTTAGCGCCTAATTACACATTGTTAGGTAGCTAAGTGATTTAGTATTGAAAATAGAGAGCTAATGTTTTGTGCACGGATGATGTGTAAATAATTTTTACACTATCTGTAGGTTAAGTTAATTTATAGTAGCATGTACTAACTTCTATATATATCATGATATGATAATCTAAAAGCAATAAAATAATAACGTGTTATAACCGATTAAGTCGTACTAATACTGCAAACTATTTCCATTTACAGGCGCATCCCGGGGTGACAAAACAAGAAAGAAAAAGTCTATGCAGATTGATAGATAGCAGAAAGCTATCGCCAGAGGCATCCCTACATGCAGCACAAAACGAACGTTTACCCGTGCGAGCAGTAATTCAAGTATTATTATCCGAACAAACCAAGCTCAACAATAACAAGCAGCAAATTGATTGGAGTGGTTCCTTTATAAGTGGCACCAGAAGCCCCAACGCGGGGATAAATGATCAGCCTCCAGCTCGGTGTATGTCAAAGCGCGAAATGAACGTTCAGCAGATGGAGATAAAGAGGCTGAAAGAAGATGTTCTTAGACTACAGAGTCAGTGTATGACAATGCAAGCACAGATTGAGAAGTTGCTGGAAAAGAAAAGAGGCAGCAGCTTCTTTAGTTGGAAGAAGATTATTGTACCTTCTTTAGTTAAGCATGATAAAATTGGAGAGGTTGATAGAGAAACTGATGTGGGATTTATTGGAAGACAAACTCCTGTGGATATGAAGACCAGGCTTGTTCGAGGCAGAACACCTAACAAGTGGAGGAAATCTTTGTCCTGACTCCTGAGACAAAATTTTAGTGTTGAATTTGGAATAGGTGCAGGTTATCAATCAATGAAAAACTAAAACTAATTATTAAAATTCATAAGCTTAGTTGTTGTTCTCTCTTCCTACTTCGTATCCTAGTAAAAGGGGAAAAAAATTAACGTGTACTTTATATTTATATTAAAGATATGTGTATCTGAATTTGATAAGGTGGGTTACTCTGATGGTAAGTATCCTCCACTTCCAACCAAGAGGTTGTGAGTTCGAGTCACCCCAAGAGCAAGGTGGGGAGTTCTTGGAGGGAAGGATGCCGAGTTTCATTTGGAAACAGCCTCTCTACCCCAGGGTAGGGGTAAGGTCTGCGTACACACTACCCTCCCCAGACTCCACTCCACTAGTGGAATTATACTGGGTCAGTGAGACATCGAGCTATTTCGGTCTTCAAGAACATGCCATAACCCAATTGTTCGCAACTTCCACGCTAGACAAAAAATAAGAGGCTAAATCTCTAATCGATTTTTTATGCTTCAAAAATAGGGAGCTTTACACAAGTAGCCGACATGATTCATTATTTATTTTTTCTAGCTGGTATACATTGATTATAACTGACTATCCGCATTTATATATATATTATACATGAATTGTACATGTATTATAATTTCGTCGACTATTTTTAGTTTAAACAATTGGATAAACGGTGATTTAGATGATTTTTCTTAAGAAATTATCATAGAAGACAATGCTTTTAAAATGATATAATTTAAAGCGCGTACTATAATACGACCCTCCTTACTATCAGCATTGGATAATCAATTTTTCTATCCTACAATTATATATGTGCAGATTTTCTGTTGACATGATAGAGTATTTAGCTTCTAGTCCCAAACACAAACTTAGTGGCTAGTCATGTAATGGACCATTGTATTTATTTTGGCTATCTTTGTAAATATTGTTTCAGCTTGTTTTAGTTAGTGTATTAGTTAGGAGGCAGATTTCGTTATATTGGGCACTTGATTGAGGCCCACTATATAAATATACATTGCTGGATTTAGAAGGATCCATCGGGCATTTTTCTCTCATTCATTTTTCTCAGATGAAATTATCCTCTCTCTGTGTTGAAAACCCACATAACCAAATTTTCCCAAATTGCTCGATCTAGAATGTTATCATGGTATCAGAGCGGGTGTTTCTGACTTGATTCATGGCTCCTCATCGTCCGATCTTACCCCGCATTCATTTCGTTGACGTTTGGAAGTTTTTCGGTCATCGCTGTTTTCTTTGAGATTCAAGTTGACTGTTTATTTTTTGCTGTTTTTCATCAATTTGTGGACTTTCATCTTATCGTTTGAGTCATTTTCCGACGTATGATCTCCGATTTGGTCCTAATTTGCACGGTGAAGGTGGTAGGGTTTTTTATTCGACCTTAAATGGGTGATAGTATCTTCTCTGAAGGCCGTTCTTCTTCGGTAGTGAAGAAGGATGGTAAACACGTTCCTCTCTTCCTAAACTTGTTTGAGCAGAGTTCTTTTTACTTTTGTTGTAATATTTTATGATTTCACTAGTTGTGTATTAGTTGAGCTTTGCAATGGGAACACCTGATATCTTTTCCCCCGATCCTTCCTGTCACGACCCAATTCCATCATAGGTCGTGATGGCGCCCAACACCATTATTAGGTAAGCCAACACTGATCAAACTAATGGTTTTCTGTTTAAATAAATTACTAAGTGGGTTTCCTCATTTGTTAAAAAGATTTTGAAATTTGCAAATGTGACATAATTAAACGGAAGCAAACGAGTACAAATCATAATCATGTAAACAAATCCAAAATCGTAAGTCCACTAGTATGTGCTCCAAGACGTGGTGTCACAAGTATGTGGGCAATCTAGTAGAATATACAAAAGAACACTACCCTACTGTCTGAAAGGAAATAGACATAAAATAAAATATAAGGGAGACTCCAGCTGCTACAGAACGGCTCGGAAGGCAACTCACCGTGAAGTTTCGAGATGGGGATCAAATCTGCGCACCAGACTGGTAACCAGATGCACCTGCCTCAGATCCTGTACAATTAAGTACAGAAGTGTAGCGTGAGCACATAAATAATATGTACCCAGTAAGTATCTAGTCTAACTTCGAAGAAGTAGTGACGAGGGGTCGACTCTGACACTTACTAAGGGCCAACAATATGATAATATGAAATTCTAATTAAGCATGATATATATAACAATAAAACTCATAACAAGAAATAACTAAATAATTCATCACCATATTTACGAACCCAAATCACTTCCTTCATTTAAAACAAATAATCTTTCAAATAATGAATTTCTACCAATTATAAAAGGGACTTCCAGGTCTATTATCACGTACAAAATTCTGCTGAGTTCGTTCGGCCCGATCCAACATAAATGTAAACTGTGCACTGCCGAGCGTCGAACGACACGAACCATAGATGCATCTATTAACCTGCCGAGGTGAACGACCCACTCCCATAAAAGTAGTAGAAAGAATTACCCCGCTCGCGGAATATACTTGCGACGCGGTCAAATATAAATTATCAATAAATCATAACCCTTTCTTGATTCTTTTCAAAACAAAGACAATTCAACTTGAAGCTTTTAAATCCTTAAAATCCTCGACTTAGTTCCATTTGATACAATTAACAAATATAATCAAATAATGGTGTCTATAAAGCATGGTGTAAATCTAAAACTACCCGGACATAAACAGGAATAGTAGCTACATACGGACTCCTGTCACTTCGTGCGTACGTAGCCCCCACAAATAACAACACATATTAATTAAGTTCATCTATGGGGTAAATTCCCTCTTACAAGGTTAGAAAAGAGACTTACCTTGTCTCAAGCCTACTTCCCAATTCAAGAATGCGCTCAGAACTCCAAATTTGATGCCAAACTACTCGAAACTAGTCAAACATTACATAAATCAATCAATCTATGCTCAAAAGTTCATAACTCCACTATTAGAGTGATCACCCAACCCAAATTGCAAGATTCCTAAAATTTACCCCCGGATCCACATACCCGGATTCCGGAAATTTTTGAAGAAAGTTGTTACCCATAACCTTAGGAACATAAATATATGGTTTTCACTAAGTTTCATAATCATTTTCGTGGTAAAATATCATTTTTTATTAAACCCTAGGTTTTTCATCTAAACCCATGATTTCTATCAATTTTCATGTTGAAATCTACCCATAATATATGTATTAAACTTACATTAAGGTAGGAATTACTTACCCTCAATAGCTAGGTTGAAGTCTCCCTTTTTGAAGCTCTAAAATCACCCAAATATGTGAAGAATGGGAGAAAAATGCCCAAGTCCGGTATTAAATGAAGCTTACTGCCTCCAGCAATTTCCGCACCTGCGGTCATAGGGCCGCACCTGCAGTCATAGGGCCGCACCTGTGCCCTCGCTTCAGCGGACAAAAGTCCGCTTCTGCGGAACTTCCCTAGGCCGGCTAGCGTCGCTTCTGCAGACGGGTTTCCGCTTCTGCGGAGGATGGGCCGCACCTGCGGAACCTGGGCTGCCCTTCCTTGGCCGTTTCTGCGAGGCTTGGCTCACACCTATGGCTGGCCAAGCGCAGGTGCGATTATGATAGACCTGATGCTTCGGCTGTTGCTCCAAATTCTTATCTTGGTCCGAGCCTCGTCCGATTGACACTCGGGGCTCCCGGGGCCCCGCTCGAACATACCAACAAGTTTGAAATCATAAAACGGACTCGCTCGAACTCTCGGAATGCCCGAAACAATATCAAAACTAAGAATCGCACCCCAAAACCAATTGAATCAAACTTAAGAACTTCAAATTCTTCAATTTACTTCTAATGCGCCGAAACGTACTTAAACTACTCGAAATGACACCAAATTTTGCGTTAAAGTCTTAAATGACATTACGAAACTATTTTCGATCTCGAAATTCCGTTTGGACCTCGATATCACCAAAATCCGCTCCCAACTAAATTTAAAGAACTTCTAAAACCTTCAAGAACCAACTTTCACTATTAGGCGCCAAAACGCTCCCGGGTCATCCAAAACCCAATCCGAACATACGCCCAAGTCTGAAATCATCATACGAACCTATTGGAATCGTCAAATTCCGATTCTGAGGTCGTCTACTCAAAATGTTGACCGAAGTCAAACTTGGCCTTTTAAACCAACCTTAAGGAACCAAGTGTTCCGATTTTAACCCGAACCCTTCCAAATCCCGAACTAACCATCCCCGTAAGTCATAAAACAGTAAAAGCATGTACGGGAAGTCTTATTTAGGGGAACGGGATTCTAGAAATCAAAACGACCGGTCGGGTCATTACATTCTCCACCTCTTAAACAAACGTTCGTCCTCGAATGGGTTTAGATTCATACCTGAGGTGCTGAATAAGTGTGGATATCTGATCCGCACATCCTACTCGGACTCCCAGGTTGCCTCTTCGACTTGTTGCCCCTCCACTGAACCTTTACCGCGGAAATCCTCTTGGATCTCAACTGGCGATCCTGTCTAGCAACAATGGCAACTGGCTCCTCCTCATAACCCAAGCTCTCATCTAGCTGAATAGTGTTGAAGTCTAACACATGTGACAAGTCAGCGTAATACCTTCGGAGCATCGACACGTGAAAAACTGGATGAACCCCTGATAGGCTGGGAGGTAAAGCAAGCTCATAAGCAACCTTCCCAACCCGCCTTAACACCTCAAATGGGCCTATAAACCTTGGGCTCAACTTGCCCTTCTTCCCGAATCTCATAATGCCCTTCATCGGCGAGACTTTCAAGAGAACCTTCTCGCCTACCATAAATGATACATTACGCGCCTTTTGATCCGCGTAACTCTTCTGTCTGGACTGTGCTATGCGAAATCGCTCCTGAATCAACTTTACCTTTTCCAAGGCATCCTTTACCAAATCGGTACCATATAACTTAGCCTCGCCGGGCTCAAACTGCTCGATGGGAGAACGACATCGCCGACCATATAAAGCCTCAAATAGAGCCATCTCGATGCTGGATTGATAACTGTTGCTGTAAGCAAACTCGGTCAAAGGCAAGAACTAATCCCATTGTCCCCCAAAGTGAATCACACATGCTTTGAGCATGTCCTCCAAGATTTGAACTGTCTGCTCTGACTGCCCATCGGTCTGTGGATTAAACGCA